AACAGAGTGAAAAATTTAAGGGAGTCTGAATACTTTCCGTACCCATTGTATGTGAGCTACTGTCTAAAAGCATCCCAGCATGAACCTCACAAAGCGTAGTAAGGCACAGGTTTTCAGGACCCTTGAGTTCAGTATCAGTCATGATTCATTCATTCATGCAATGGGGTGAATTCATGGCATCTGCTGTTCCTCTACACCCAAAAAAAATCTATTTGTGTCTGTGCATGAAATTAATTTGACAGTGTCATTGCAAAACTTCTGCATTCCAGGTGCATGTTATTTTCGGCAAAGATTGAGAAACTGTGTGGTTTGGTTTTAATATCGCAGTTATCATTCCGCAGGTAAACGGGGTGCGTTTCATCACCATCACCAAAGGACAGGTTCTGATCATTTGGAAGGATCACTGCATCGCAACAAAGTAATACCTGATTAAATGCAGCAATTAAATTAATTCTTCATTTAAGAGTTCTAAACATAACTAATATGGCATTTTTAGGTGTATAAAGACATACAAAGTGGAATTTTCCAAAGATGAGACGACTTTCCAGAGGATTAATCAGAGAGAGACTATTTTCACATACTTCACTTATTCTCCAGGTATTATTTAAAATTTTGGCTACATTCAGAATATTTAACTTCAAGCACTGATCCATACATTGACCTGCTGGTGTTTTTCTCTCCACAGAGAGTCTGGAGGTGAGCGGATACTATAGAGTAAGAGCCGTGGATTACTGGGGAAGAAATGGAGAATATTCTGTCACTGAGAAATATTCGGAGAACCGGTATTCTTGATTAGACCGACTTATGACTTTCCACATACAATATAGTTCACTTTGTATCTTATTTTGATATTAAAAAAAAGCTCACTAGGACAGCATGACATTGGTTTGACCAACATGTAAATTGTCCGAACAGAGTTAATTTTTTTTTTTTTTATATATGTAATTTCGGACTGGTTATCTGATGCCGCAATAATTTACCTTAAACACAACTATTTTAAGTCTACGCAGCCTATGTTTGCCATAATTGTATTCAACATGCATACAAGACCATCCATGGGTATATCGGAGATAAAAATAGATTGAATGGACTGGATGATGAATTTGAACAACAACTACTAAGTTTTATTTACAGTATTTCCATAAAAATGTAATATTAAATGCTGCTGTCAGACTCTGAACTACCTAGACATTCAAATGATTTTTAAATATCAAAATGACAAAAAAAAATCAGGATTAACAGTTTATTAATAAATATTGGTGTGGATGTTTACCAAAGTGGAACTCTGATTCAGTGTATATTTAACATTACATTGCAGGCTTTACATTATAATCAGAGGTTCTTCAATGAAAGAAGAAACGGTGTCAGATCAGAGGAAATTTATACACATATATTTGCATGTATTCAGTTATTATTTCACAAAATGAGGCATTAATCTGACATGATCTATTAGAAAACAGCGACAGGTGTGAAAAGGGCACTGTAAAACCAAAGTGGCAGAATACAAGCATTATTCTTTATCCAGACAGGTAACACGATCTTTACATCAGAAACGATACAGGAGTCATTTTGGGCAGCTCACTTCAAGATTGTGTCCTCATTAGCTGTTGGATAAAAGCAACCAATCTGATCAATCTGCAGAAGAATCACACTATTTAAATGTCAAGAGAAAACCTCACCTTCTGCTAGCTGTTTAGCAATGCGTTCCTTCTCCTCTCGTACCTTCTTCTCCTCCTCTTCTATTCTCCTCTCCTCCTCTGCAATTGGTTTCAGATTATCTGGAGAATAAAGAAAAAGCTTTGAACTAAAATGTATATAACTAAGTATATAAACATTTTGAAACTTTCGGCAGAATCAGCAGCATTTTTGGTTGGAACCTTGTTTCCACCATGGAATAAAAAAAAAGAAAAAAGGTAATTGCAGATTACTTTTTTTCCTTGGAATTCTGAGTTTACATCTTGAAACTGTTATTTTTTTCCAGCCATGGAAATAAAAAATTATAATTCTTCTCACATTTCGGGCTTTTCTTACAATTCTGAGGCTGTATCTCACAAAAAAAGTCAGAATTGTGAGGAATTTT